TTTCCTACATGTGAAAACAGCCTTTAAGAGAAAATCAACAAAACCCCAACCACCCAAACTCGTTGTCATTGGGTGAGAACCAATGCCTAGCCTACCCTCCACTGGGCTTCTGTGCCCCTCCAGCAGGCTGCCCACCAGAGAGGCGTGGCCTTCTGGTCAGTGGCCAGCGGTCCACACACGAGGCCGCTAGAGCTCCCTGGTGGCCCTTCCTGTGAACTAAGGGTGCGGAGGGGGTGGCACCCAGTGGGCACAGATAGTGTCAGCTCTGCCACGTGCTCACTGTCACGGGCGACAGCTTCTCTGAGCCTCAGTTTCCTCTCTGCAAAATGGGGCCACAGACATGCTGCTTCACAGGGTGTGGAGATGCTTCCAGAAAAAACCCCTATATGTATTCAGTTATTTCTTTAAAAGGGCCTTAAAGGAATGAGTCGCTGGCCCTGAGAGACCAGGACCATAATCTTAGAGGACATGGAAATGGAAAAAAAAATCAACAGAAAGAATCTTATATCTACTAGCTCTCTCTCCCTTTCCTTCACACACACACACACACACACACAATATAACCACGTGCTTAGGAAGTTCAACGGAGGCCTCCTCTTGAGGTGGACTGCTTCCATGTCTTCCTGACTTGGGGTGTCACTGGACAGGACACCAGGAAGACCCTGTCAGTGTCTAGCTCCATGAGCCATGGCTGATGAGAGGGCCTGAGGAGGTAAACCCCTACATCCTGGGCCCTGACCCTTCTCATACCCAACTAGAAGCTTAGCTAGACCCCACTGCTCTGGCCCTGGGTAGAGTCTAGAGCCACAGGTACCGAGGGGTCTTTAAGAGCCTGCTCCTGTCTTGGGAAACCCCAGGGCCAAAGAGGCCATAGTAGCATTGTGTTGGGGTCCTGGGCACCAGCTGGCACAGTGACTCTAGGCCTCTGCTCTCAGGTAAGAGGGGGTACTAAGCTCTAAGAGGTACATGGAGGGGCAGCTTAGTGAACACGCGTGGGCATGGGCTCTGGTCAGATAAGGGAGTGAGGTCAGCCTACAGCTGGGGCTGGGCGCTGACCATGACAGTATATACACATGCAGAATACATGCACACAAACCCCCCCACACACATACACACACACGTTCCTCTACACAGTCAGCTACACGCATACACAAACTCACATACAAGCATGGACACACAGTTACACATAAATTCACACCCTCTCATACGTACAGATTCACGCAAACTCACACACACTCACATGCAAAGTTATACGCGTAGTCACCAGTGTATGTACACACGCACGCACAACGACACACATGTACACACTCACACTCTGAAACAGATCAAGTATGTGGTCAAGATGCCCTGGTAAGTGCTGGTGATTGGAATGCAAATGTCGGAAACAAATGAGAATCAATAGTTGGGTAACAGGAGCTTAGTGAGAGAAACGAAACTAGAGAGCTCTAGAAATTTTAGAGATAAAATTTTGCGAGACCAACAGCCCATTCATAGAAACATCTTTTCTCAGTAACCTAACAGGAGACTATATACGTGGAATTCGTCGGGGGGGGGGTGGTACAAAGGAATGCGATCCACTGTATCTGCAGAAACAATAGAGAAAGCCAGCCTCCAAGGCCAGGGGCCAGTCCTGGGTGGACCATCCAATACTTATATACAAGTTCTCATTGAAGTTGAGTAAAAATTCAAAATGGCCATGGAAACTGAAGTGTAATTTAGAATGCATTCTACCTGAATTTAGAGACCGTCTCGGGAATCAATCTGATATGGAACACTAATTACGGAAGAGCAGAAAAATTGAAAGACGTCACACATGAAAAGTTCAAAAAGTTGTTAAAAAGACAGGAAAGAAAGAAAAGACCAAAACGGATGTCAGAAGACACTGGATGCAGTTAAAGCAAATAGAAAAAAAATGGTGAAGTAAAAGAGCTCAAGAAGATCAAGTAAAATACAATATTAAAATGTGCAAAGACCTGGAGTTAGAAAATCAAAACGGAAGGATGCATGATACACTTCTCAAGCTGAAGGAATTAAAGAGGAGGGGGAGAATTTCAAATATGGACCTGAAATATTACAACTTTTAAAAGATCAAATCACATATGAAGCATCAAATGAAGATGGAAGGAATACACAGAGTCCCTGTACCACAAAGAACGCAATCATTTCAGAAAGAATGACACACAATCATTTCAGAAAGAATGAATGGTCAGTGAATGGTAACATGGTCAAGAACCCAAGGTACTGGAGGAAGAAGTCCAAGCTGCACTGGAGGCGTTGGAGAAAAGCAAGCCCCCAGGAACTGATGGCGTACCAAGTGAGATGATTTCACAAACGAATGCAATGCGGGGTGCGCTCTCCCATCTGTGCCAAGAAATTTGGAAGCCAGCTACCTGGTCAACCACCTGGGAGAGATCCACGTTTGTGCTCACGTCAAAGAGGATCCAACAAAATGCAGAAATTATAGAACACTATCATTAACATTACTCACAAGTAAATTTTGCTGAAGATAGCAACAAAAAGGATTGTAGCAGTATGTTGACCAGGAGTTGCTAGAAATTTAAGCCAGATTCAGAAGAGAATATGGACCTGGGTATTATCATTGCTGATGTCAGACGGCTCTTAGCTGAAAGCAGAGAGCACCAGAGAGACGGCTCCTCAAAGGCATCTGAATGTGCTGTAGCTGTTAGAGGTCACTGAGTCCACTGTGGCCCTCAGAGACCCTCGAAACAACAGATCAAACTTTGCCTTCTTCTGTGCCGTCCTTAAATCTCCATCAGACGCAAGCCCGTAGTTACAGTCACTGGGACAATCCATCTCACTGGGGTCTCCTCTCTCGCGGATCCTCTACTTTTCCAAGCAGAATGTCTTTTTCCAAGAACTGATGCAGCTTGACATGCTAAAAACTGTGAGATGACCATTTACTGCCCTTGCCTCCAAGAAGGACCCTGGATCATAACAAATTAGGGATGACGTTGTGAAGAATGAAAATTGCAGAAGACTTTTAGTCGTCATCATGCAGAACCTGTCCATAGACCAAGAATCTCTTGTTTTTGAAAGAACAGTGCACTGTTTAAAATCTGGAAAAGTGTGTGTTGTGGCTGTACTCTTTCGTCATTGTTATTCAACATGCAGTGAGCAAATAATCCAAGAAGCTGAGTTATATGAGGAAGAACACAGCATCCGAACTGGCGGAAGACTCACTAAAACCTGTGACATGCAGATGCAGCCTCGTTTGCTGAAAGCAAAGCACTTACTGATGAAGACTTAGGATTACAGCCTTCAGTAAGAATTACACCTCAACATGAAGTAAAAAAAAAAAAATATCCTCACACCTGGAACAATAGGCCACATCATGCTAAACAGAGAAAAGACCCAAGTTGTCAAGAATTTAACCTCCAAAGTTGTCAAGAGTTTAAACTCTGAAATTGTCAAGAATTTAACCTTACTTAGATCCACGATTAACACCCATGCAAACAGATGTCCAGGAACCAGACAATATATTGCATTGGGAAAGTCTTCGGCAAAAAAAAACCCTCTTACATGTCTCTCTCTCAGTAGCATCCTTGGAAAAGTAGAAATTAAAATTTTACATTAAAAGTAATTTAAAGTGTTAAAGAGTCATGATGTCGCCGTGAGAACTACGACTCAGCTGTGACATTTTCAGTCGCTTCATGTGCGGGTGAAAGTTGGACGATGAGCCAGGAAGACAGAAGAAGAATAAATGCTTTTCAATCACCGTGCTGGTGAAGGAGAGTGACTATTGCACAGACTGTCAGAACAACTAAGTCTCTCCTAGAAAAAGCACAGTCAGAATCTCTCTTAGAAGCAGAAATGGCGGGACTTGATCTTACACACTCAGGGAAATATTATTAGGAGGAACCAGTCCCTAGAAAAGGACATCCTGCTCAGTAAAGCACAAGGTAGACAGAAAAGGAGAAGATGGCTTAGCAAATAGGGACTTAAAGATAGGAGGTGGCGAGGAGGCGCTGGACCAGGGAGAGAACTTCATTCTGTTATTCACGGCAGCCATGAGGAAGGACCGATTTGATAGCAGCAATAACACACACACACACACACACACACACACACACAGAGTCTCTCACTCATAACCCCCACACTTACACCCATACGCACTCACACACATCCAGCTTCTCTAGATCGGCACTGGGAAGCTTCCCATTCAGATAGCCAATGCCCCTTGAGCCCCTCCGCCCTGGGGAAGCTGCTCACCCCGTGTCCTCACCCCAGAGTGAAGCACCTCTTTTTCCTTCCATATCCTCGGGGAAATAGTCATGCCTCCGCTCCCACATTTACGCCTCACCCCCTGCATTTACGAGTGGGAGTTTATGACCTGGATGGCCTTGGGGACCCCTCCAGGCCACACAGGGCTGAGAAGCACCCAGGTGTTCAATTCTGAGTTGATAGCCCCAGGTCTGGTGGGGGACAGGAGACCCTCATCTGTCACCACCTCCTTCCAAACAAACAAGCATTCAGATTCACCCAGCCCATGACCAGTGGGGTGGGGGACAACATTCTAACCCCTCTTCCAGGGCCTGACTATGCCCCCTTGGCCGCTCCAAGTCTGATGTGAGAGAGGGACCAAGAATTGCATGCATGGCTTTAATATCTGCATGGCTCTATTCTCTGAGGGCCCTCACCGTGCCCTTGACCTCTTTGCTCAGAGCACCATCAGAACTGCCCTGGGAGGTGGTGAGCTCTGCATCCGGGTACGCATTCAAGGAAAGCCAGAGTGACCAGTGGGAATGCAGCAGAGGGAGTAGCATGGGACGGGGAGGCTTTAGAGTCTGATGTTAACGCAGATCTCATCACCTTGGGCCTAGGACGCTGCTGGCAGGTACAGCCTGAGCTAGACGGGGTTGGGGAGCAGACAGGGCTCCTGGGCCCCCAGGCATCTGTGACTCTCGAGTCAGACTCAGGGAGAACAAAGTCTCCCAAGCACCCCAGCCCCGGCTCCTGCTGACGCCCCACAGGTTACTCACCCAGCACCCCCAGCAGGTACGCGGAGGCCAGTGGCAGCTGCTGGGACTCCATGGGCGCGACCTCCTGCCTCACTCAGCCTTGGGTGGCACAGCACCCCTGGGTGAAGGAGTGTGGCCCAGCACCTCGCTCTCAGGAGGAGGTGGGGCGAGCCAGCGTGGGCAGGGGTGGGACGGGAGAGAGGCGCTTCAGGGCCTGCGTCACTGTGTTTGAAGCTGAACTGTCTACTTCCTCCGGGTGAAACCACCTGTCCCAGCTTCGGTGCTGGCGCTGGTTGCCGTCTGCTTGCTGCTCGAGGTGGCCAGGCTGGGCTAGTGGCCCCTGGTCCCCTCCCTGGGACAAGGACAGGGAGTCTGGGGTCTCTGGGGACTCACGGCTTGGGGTGATGGCAGGGAGGGGACTTGAGGGGAGGTGGACATGCTCTGACACAGGGCTCCCACCAGGTGTTCGGGATGGGAAAGAGGGCACAGACACGGCTAAAAATCCAAACCAGACAGTCCACTTTGCCGGTGCAGGGCTGGGGAGGACGTTTGAGAGGGATCCCACAGTTACAGTGAGTGAGCCCCAGCGAGGGCTGCTCTGTGGATGCTGGTTTATGTGGGGGGGGGTGAGAGAGACACAGATAGAGTGTGTGTCATCCGCATGTTGTACGTGTCCCCAGGTTAATGAGTGTGTGTGTGTGTGTGTGTGTGTGTGTGTGTGATTCTCATGTGTGTGTATGTGTTCCCTTTAGTGTGGGGGACAGGGAGGCTCAGAGCCAGGCCCTGTGTGTCCCCATCACCTAGGCGGTCCCAGGCTCTGTATTAAGTGTTGGAAGACAAGGTTCTGAGCTGCCCCCTGAGCTCAGGCCTCACCCCTGCTCCAGGCTCCCTGCTACTCTGAGTAGCTCCTTCTCTGTACAAGGGCCTTAGGGTGCGGTCAGGCCCCCCTTTCTTTAGTTGCCCAGAGTGCTTCGAAGCATCCCGCTGCACCCTTCTGGCTACATTTCCAACAATATCCCCTAAACAGCACCCTCGCAACACCTGAACAGCACCCCAACACCATCCTCAACAGCACCCGAACAATACCCTCACCAGCACCCCAATAACATCATTAACAACACAGCAGCCATACCCTCTGATAGCACCTCCGTAGTATCCCCATCCACACGCCCTCAACACCACCCACTGCTCCCAGCATTTCAGGCTTCTCAGTCCAGGAAGGTGATGGCTGTCCCCTCCCCCAGACCTTGCTGCGGCCTGGGATGGGAGGCCTCAGCCAGCCTTCCCCCCACCCCTGCCCCAGGCCTGGCACGTTTCCTTATCAGAAGCCCACTCAGCCCCCTGAACCCCGCGTCTCATCTTTCCTTGACTGTGTCTTTGAAGATTGAAGTCTTTTTTATCCATCAGCAAACATTTGCTCCTGGTGGAGCCAGTCAGACATGATCCCTGCTCTGCTTATACTCCAAGGACTCCCCTGAATTCATTTTCTCTGAAAAATGTAGCACTTAGAAAGCTTTTGTTTGTTGCCGCTCACGTTTCATGTATTAAGTGGCCTTTCATGAACTCCACTGGCCGTAATCCTGCATCATTGTATCATTCACGTCATTGCTCAGAGAAGGGGTTTTTCTTGAACACCTGCCCCAGCCAGGTGCCACTCCATGCCACCTTCTAACCACCTCGGGAAGTGGATTGAGTGTTCCATTTCACAGATGAGAAAACTGAGGCTCAGGGAAGCCTTCCCCCAAAGCAGCCACGCTTGACCCCAGCAGGTGAAGTAGCTGATAAATGACCCAAACTGGGCCACAGGCTTCTTTTTTCCACCTGCACATCCTGGCAGCACCCACCTTTCCAAGTCACCCCAAAACCACCACAAAGCAAGAAACCAAAACAAAACTCAGAAAAGCTTTTCATTTGATCTCTGAGACTTCATCACAGACTAGGACATAGCTTCTGTTCATTTCTGATTGGCTAGCTTGCTTTTGGAAAATGCAGAGGCAGATGGGTCCCTGGAGGGTCCCTGGAGCCTGCCCTACTGGTCTGGGGGCTGTGTATGGGCGCTGTCTGTGGAGGGGTCAGCGTCTGGCCCAGCCTCTTGTTCCGCACTCTGCTGCCCCTCTTCCCCAGACTCCTCCACCTTCTCCCAGGTCCCCACAACGGAGGTCTTCCCACTCCAGGCCTCCAGGCTCACTGTCACCCCAGACCCCAGACCCCTGGCAACAGTTTCCTGTCCCCATTGCTGGCACTTTCCGTGACACAAGAGGAAGTCAGCTGAGCCTGAGCTGGGTTTTCCATGCAGCTGGCCGGGGTGGAGGCCCAGGGTGGGGAGTAAGGGGGTGGGTGTTGAGCCCCTAGGCTGGGTGTCAGTACATCCTCGGCCTCAGGAGAGACACCTGCCTGGGCTGGCCTCGGCCCACACCAGGTAACTGTGGTCATGGATCTGTCTGAGGGTGGTCCAGGCAAACTGAGCTCCATGGGCCAGGAGCCCCCCAGGGTTTGCTCTCTCTACCCAGACCTATGAGGTGGGGGTGGGAAAGGAGCTGAGAGCTGGGGTGAGAAAAGTGGGCTGAGATTGTGAGTGGTACCCAGTGGGAGGTTTATAGTGTGCTGAATGAATGGAGGACTTGGCGGGATGGTTCCTAGAGACCTTGGAAGGAGGGCTGGTGGCACTTCTCTGCAAGTGTTTGTTGAATGATTCAGTGACCTACATCCATGAAAGTTTGTGCTTGGCGTCCTTGTGGGGACAGACGTGGGGCACTCTGGGAAGCAGTCCTCCTTTGCCTAGTCTTTTCAGTGCAGGGGGCTGGAGGTGAATGCAGAAGGAGGGACACAGAGGCTGGTCCTGAATGAGGCAGACGAGGGTTAGGGATGCCAGAGCGGCCCTGGCCAGGGCAGCGACTTGGACTTGATTCCTGATACGCAATATGACCCTGGGCAAGCGTACATCTCACCCTGGGCCTCAGCTTGCTCATCTGTATATGGGGAAGGTTGGTGCTGTTGAGCTTGGCCCCTCGCTCCAGGGAGCCAGCCGGCCCACAGCTTTGAGCTGGAGGTGGGGGAATTTCTTGGTTTGGGACCTGGAGGGCGTCACTGGGGACTTTGAGGAGGGACAGAGGAAGAAAGGACGTGGCCCCTTCCCAGGGCAGATTTGAACTCTCGTCTCAGATCCTTGTAGTGAAACTTTCAGTACTTCCTCTTGTTCCCGAAACTCACTTATGGTGGTTGTTTGAAGGTGTAGCAGAGTTGTGTCAAGCCTGGTGCGCACAGACAGGCAGCTGTGAACTTGACCCACTAGAGGGTTGGGAGTCCAGAGGCCAGCTTCCAGTTCCAGCTGGCTGACTGACTGGCATGTCCCACCCTTCTCTGGGACTTTAAAAAAAAATTTATTAATTTTAATGAAAGTTTACAGAAACCAAGGGTTTCCAGTCATTCATTGTTACTCTTTTCTCCCTGTCCACCCTCTCCCCCGGCCCCAATTCACTCTTCTCCTTGAAAAGAAAGAAAAACACTTTCATTGTTATGCAATCCCTCTCTTAAATCCACTCCAGTATGCACCCTTCACTCTGGACTTCTGTAATGATGAGAATACCCATTCACAAGTCCCTTTTAAACAGTTCTCGCCCTCATCTGTTTCAATACATCATTCCTTCCCTCTTTTTCTTCTGTCTTCCCTCAACCCTAATGTCAGTCCTGTTTTACAACAGTGGCACCATGCAGTATTTGTCCTTTTATGATTGAGATATTTCACTCAGCATAATGTCCTCCAGGGTCACCCATTTTGTATAATATTTCATGAGTTTCTTGGTTTTGGGGACTATCTTTCTTTTGTGTAAGTTGACAAGGCCGCTGCTGTGTTCCGTGATGCTTATCCCTTGTGTCTCAAGTCTCCACCACCCCCAGCCTCCTCTTGGCCTTCTCACTGTTCCCCCAGATGCGCTCTGAATAAGTGGCCCAGCTCTTTCCCACCACTCCCCCTCGGCCTGTGTAGGCCTCCCCACAGCGGACCTCAGACAGCCTGTAGCCCTAAACATGTGATACTCGTGTTTTCATTTCTATTGTAAGATTGAGCTTGTTAGAACACAGGACACAGGTTTAGGTTGAGAAAATAAAGCCACGTAGGGTTTTCTCAATTGTTTGCTATACATTTGAGAGCTGGACAATGACTAAGGATGCCTCTGAGATATTGTAGGCTTGGTTCCATATCCCTGCAATGAAGCGAGAATTGCAGCAAAGCAAACCACAGGAAAGTTATGGTTCCCCCATGTGTATAGAAGTTAGGTTTTAAACGAATACTGTCGTCTGGAGCTCTGGCAGCCAAGTGTTTAAGGAGTTGCACTGCCAGCCAAAAGGAAAGTGGTTCAAATCCACTAGCCAAGGTGGGAAATCTCTTCCCACGCAATTTATAGTCTCTCAAGACTTGCTGAATGGTCAGCTCTGAGTTGGTTGTGACTTGACTGCCTGAAAGATCACTATATCATTGTCTGTTAAGTGTGTGATTGTAGGATGAATAAAAGATGGAAATACTACAAGAATGACCAAAATAACCACACAAACCTGCTTGGTTGACACAAGCCATAAATTGCCACAAAGCTTCAATTTGTAAAATGCAAGAAAGTGAAGAGCAATGAAGTATGTCGGAGTAGAAAGTGTGATGTCCAGGCTGGGACTGAGCTCCCCTACCTCCGGCCCTGAAGCCCAGACTCTCAAACCTTCTTCTGCAAAAATGCAGAGCAGAATCCCTTTGGTTTTTTCCTCAAAAATATTTGAGTGACAGTTTTCAGAGCGAATCTGTTTATCCTTAAGCAAGTCATGCTTAGTTCGCTTCATGCCATTAACTGCAATCTCCCACTATGTAACCCCCTCGTCCCCCCTCCCTGCTGTTCCTTCCTCGTGTCTGTCCCTTCCTGCCTCTGCACTGTGTCATTGGACCAATGAAGCTGACCTGCCTTGCAGGGCGCTGTGAGCACACCTGCGGAAGGAGCCCGGGCAGTTGCTTGACTCCTAGTAGTCTGTCTCCAGCAAAGGCGCCTTCAAAGCACCTGCTCTCTCACTTTCTAAAGACCTGCTTCCTTTTAG